GAGATTGTTAATTATTGTACAAGAAGTAAATAAAGCTTTCTTTCAAAAAATTATGATGTTAAGGTATGTCAGACACATGCATATATCTCCCCCAGCTTCAAAACCTGTGTGTCTACAAAAAAGAGCTGCTGGGGAAGGGGAACCTCAATCCATCCTACTCCTTCAAGTTTGATGCTAGCATCAGTGATAGGTGCCCACAGCCTGGAAAGGGGACGTGGGTCAGCAAGGAATCACCTGAAGTGCAGCACAAAGAAATTCAAGCCACTCTAGCCAATAAGTCTGCTAAATGTCTCTGTGCTAACATCTGTATCATGAGGAATAGACAAGGGGATTCAGCAATGTACACGTCTCATGAGGGCATGTGTACATGAGGGCTATTATTATTACAAATATAATATAACACCTTATTATTATTACAAAGATGTAGAATGGCTCTCATGAACCTGGGTATCAGGGGTGGTTTAGGTTGGAAATTAGGAGACATTTCTTCTCAGAAAGAATAGTCAGGCATTGGAATGGGTTGCCCAGGGAGGCACTGGCGTCAGCATCTGTTTGAGGAAATGTTGGACTTGCCGTTTAGGGACAGTTTAGTGGGTGGCATTGTTAATAGGGTGATAGTTGGACCAGACGACCTTGGAGGTCTTTTCCAACCTTTTCAGTCTTTCAAGATTCTACAGATATATGATTCTATAATCACAGAAAAGAACCTGTCTCCATCCTGTTTGCAACATCCATTCATGCATTTCCATACATTGATATGGTGCCCCCTGAGTCTTCTCTAGGCTGAAGAGTCCCATCTCTCTCAGCCTTTCTTCATACGAGAGATTCTCCAGTCCCTTCATTATCTTTGCTGGACTCTCTTCAGTATGTCTGTGTCTCCCTGAGAAGCCCAGAACTGGATCCAGTACTCCAGGGGTGGCTTCATCGGTGCTGAGAGTAGGGAATAATTAACTCCCTCGACTTACTGGAAATACTTTGCTTAGTGAAGCCCAGGATACTATTATTTTTCTCTGTGGCAAGGGCACACTGCTATCTTATGGTCAATGGGTGTCCCACCAGGACCCCAGGGTAGTTTTTTTTGAAAAGCTGTTTTCCAGCTCGGTGGCCCCCTGTATTTATCGGTGCAGAGGGTTATTCCTCCCCAGGTGTGGGATTTTGCACTAGCCGAACTTCATGTGGTTCCTACTAGCCCATTTCTCTATCATGTCAAGGTCCTGCTGGGTGGCAAAAAAATCATCTGATTTAATTGCCAATTCCCTCAGGTTTGTGTCATCTGCAGTCTCACTGAGGACACATTTCGGCCCAAAGGCAGCACATTAACGGAGATTAAACAGACCTGAGTTTGGTATTGTCCCCTGGGGTACTCCACTAGCCTCCAACTAGACTTTGTGCCACTGACCTCTACCCCATGGGCTCAGCCACTCAACCGGTTTTCAGTCCACCTCACTGGCTGCTTATCTAGCCCATACATCAACAGCTTTTCTACAAGGATCTTTTGGGGACAGTGTCAGAAGCTTTACTGAAGTCCAGAGAGACGATATCCACTGTTGTCCTCTCATCCATCAGGCTGGTCATTTCATTATAGAACTTTATCAAGTTGCTCAAACATGACTTTCCTTTGGTTAATCCATGCTGACTCCTCCTGATGATTTTTGTACTCTTCATGTGCTTGGAAATGGATTCTGGGAGAAAGTGCTCCATCCCCTTCCCAGGGACTGAGGTGAGGATGACTGGCCTCTTTACTCCCCAGGCAGTCCCTCTTGCCCTTCTTGAAGATAGGAATGACATTTGCTTTCTTCCAGACCCCAGGCACTTCTGACTTCTCCCACTCACCATGATTGATCAAGGGTTATGAAGAGTAGCCTCACAATGACATCTACCAGTTCTTGTGGGTCAACCAAGGCAACACCTCAGGAAAGAAGAGCAGAGCAAGACAGAGATTTGGTCTGAAGTAACCATAGTGAAGCTCATGGACAGCCCTGGTTGCAGTGACCAGGAGTGAAGGAGGCAACACAACAAGCTCTCCACTTTGGAGTTTGGGAGAGTAGGATTTACCTTTTTCAGGGATCTGCTTGGTAGATTACCATGGTCAAAGCACTAGAAAGAAGAGAGGCCCAAGAAAGAGAGAGTGAAGTCTACAGAGGGTGGAAGCGAGGATAAATAGTCTGGGAGGGATACAGAGGCATCATCTGAGCAGCCAGGGATCAAGGTAGGAAAGTCAATGCCCTTTTAGAATTAAATTTGGCCAGGGGAATCAAGACAATAGAGGCTTCAACAATAAGGGCTTCTAAAGGTATATCAGTGATAAAGGAAGACTAGGAAAAACGTGGTACCTTTCTAGAAAGAAATAAGAGACCTTGTCACCTGGGATATGGAGAAGGCGGAGGTACTCAATGCTTTTTCCAGCATTTGGAAAAATCAAAGTTATATAATAATAGCAGTCAGTCTTTGACTTTCGTAATTTGCCAGCTGTTTATTTCTTACATTTTTAAAAACTGTATATCTTGTATATTTTTTTCTGAAACACCTGCACATGAAAAAAAAAAAAGGACACATTTTTGCAGACTTCAAAATACTCTGAAAATTTTGGTATCTGTGCAACACATACTCACACAAGAAAACTGTGGTGAAATATATAAAAAATAATATGAATAGAAGTCTATGAAAGTCAGGATAGAGTTCAGATATTTGGAATTCACTTAATAGATGCAATTAGATTTCTGATTTCTTCTGCACCTCAGAAGACAGTAGCAGTTAAAATATACTATATGTTAGTCCACTTCCTGGTATGAATTTATTTATTTATTTTTTACACCAAAAATCTAGATCATTTGAAAATTACCTGAATTATGATAACCTTTCTTATATATGGATCATGATTTCTTAATGAGAGCCTTGAAGCCACTTTCTACATTCAGTTGTATTTGTCTCTTTGGATATGTAGGAATTCCAATAATTCTCCTGGAAGAAGAAAAGGGACCTTTATGTAAATGAGCCTTTGACCCATTCTGCAGCAGCTAATTTATGGTGATTTAGACCTGTGATTGCACATGTGAAAAATCAAATTATACATCTAATCTCCTTATTACATGGGTCAATTATTAGGGGTCTTTATGTATAACTTCCTAATACACAACCACAGATAGGCATAGCTTAGATCCCATCCAGCACTTATTTATTTTTAATCAGGACTCCTTTTCTACCAAGGATTTTCATCATTTTAATAGGAACAATATTATGACTTTGTAGGAACAACATCTACTTTCAATTATTTATTTATTTATTTATTTATTTTAAATTTAAACACCATACAACAATTACAACAACAACAAAAAACAACAACAACGACAACAACAACAAAAATAAGACATACATTTCTGGACCACTAATTCAGGACTCAAATACAATGTGACTTAGACGTATTTGTGATGGGATCAAATTACATTGAACTATGCCTAAAGTACTCTAAGACCACTACATCTCAAGGAAGGTATAAAATAGCTGTATGAGTAGATTTTATTAAAATATCCTTCCTGTCAGTCCTTGATTTACACTGACCATTCTAGGGATTAATCATGGTGACAACAGAATAAACATGCTTAGAAATGGAGAGAAAATATTAGTACAATTGAAAATGTAGTTTGTTGTTTTTGCACAAGATTGTAAGGCAGCTTTAACAACCAATACAAAATAGGGGCCAAGGACATTAAATACCATTCAAAAGTATTATATCTCAATATATTTTCTCTGGTCAGAGTTGTATTTCTGTACCATTGGCCTATTTTGTGGAATTTGATATAGTTATTTAGTTTTTATAGCTCTCCAAGAGGCTATCAAAGAAATAAAGAAATACTTGAAAAACTTTTTTTTTTTAAGAATATAGACAGGTTTATAGTTTTTTTCATCATCTTATATTTTACTTCTTTTGCAAGTAATTTTTACATTTTATCCAAAAGTTGCAAAACTTTTGATATTAATGTTAATTATTTTGATATTTTGAAATTAAGAATTTTAGTAGAACAGATACTCTATTACAGAAAATATTCATCTTAAGGAAACTTCTTCAGAAGAAATTGTCATCTTGTTCAGAACAAACATATAGATAAATGATTTGTAAATAATATATGTTTCAGTTCTCCAAGCAAAGACATAGTGAATGTATTTTAAAGTAGGTACATTGTCAGTAAACAAGTTGTCTTAAAACAACAAGCATGAACCCCTTTAAATTCAACCTCTTACAAGTTCTTTCATAAAACATTCTTATTGACTTTGCAGTTGATATGTAATTGTTATGATTTTTTTTTAAAGAAATTTACAGCTTCCAGGTAAATGGATCACTGAGACAAAGGTAACCATTCAGAGAGAACAGAATGCTTTCCAGTACTGCACCATGACTGCAGGTGACTCTCAGCATTTGAGAGAATTCTAAGAAATAATTTCCTAAAGGCTTATTTTTTTTTACAGATTGTAAGTTGAGCTTCATCCATGATTCTCAAGAGATTTAGAACTTGTTTAAATTGTAATTCAAGATTTTTAAATTGTGATTCAAGATCAATTTGATTGACACCCTGTGTTTGAGAACATTTACATAGCTGAACAGTTTGCAGGTTTTACACCCACCTTTAAATATTTAGGTTCAGGTTTTAAGATGATTTAGAAATTGCACAGAAAGACACTTTATTTTCAGAAAACAAAACAAAACAAACAAACAAACAAAAAAAAAAAAGAGAGAAAGAGAGAAAAAGAAAGAAAGAGAGAGAAAGAGGAAGAGAGAAAGAGAGAAAGAGAAAGAGAGAAAGAGAGAATGAAAGAACGAAAGAAAGAACGAAAGAAAGAACGAAAGAACGAACGAAAGAACGAAAGAACGAAAGAAAGAACGAAAGAACAAAAGAACGAAAGAACAAAAAAGAAAGAAAGAAAGAAAGGAAAGAAAGAAAGAAAGAAAGAAAGAAAGAAAGAAAGAAAGAAAGAAAGAAAGAAAGAAAGAAAGAAAGAAAGAAAGAAAGAAAGAAAGAAAGAAAGAAAGAAAGAAAGAAAGAAATTCTTTCTCAGCCTTAACATCATTAAACATACTACTTAGTTAATAGATTTAGTAGACATGTACTTTATTCAAATACATTAATAGTACACTTGATCTCTTAAAATCTTAAAAATGAAGTATATTAAGCAAAATTGAATCTATAAATATTTATGCTTATTGTATTTGACTGTTATTAATTATTTATGATCCCATAAGATACAAATCATAAATGAAACCATTAATGATTTATTAACAGTATCTTACTGATGAGAGGCTAACGGCAGTGTTTGAAACAAACCAGAACATATTTTAATATACTGCAAAAAACTAGGAATCATATCCCTGTGTGTTTCCAATTCAGAAACTGTGGTTTCTGTTTTGTTACAGCAGAAGTAGAACATTCTGACAATACTTCTTAATTACTAACTCCTGCATCTTTCTCTGACTGATGGCTGACTGAAATAAGAAATCAGGACTCAGTTTGGACTGCAGACTACTTAATTCCTCCTGTCCAGTCCTAAACCAGTTAAAATTTACCTCAATGAAGATCATTATATTCCCCATAATTATGACCTGAACTAACACTTTGCAAAAGCATGTGCCAAAATCCACTGCCTTTGACGCTGATTGGTGCAAAATGTGGAATTTAAACACCCTGCAGGGCACTTTTTAATCATTGCATGCTATGCCCTGCAATTAAGAAGAAGTCAAGCAATAATAAAATCCAATTAACTCTATGTCTGCATTTAAAATTTTCATCTCATGATCAGAAAAAAGAACCCTAAGTCAAGGGTAATAGTACAGAATAAAAAGTCAAGGGTAAAGCTACAGAAGGCTGAGCATGGAAACACTCTAGAATGGAAGAAAATGTAAGCATAAAATAAAATGGAGAACAGCAGTCCTCTGCTTTTTCTAGCATATAATTTCTTATCCTCTTTAACCACATTAATTAACAAGTTAATACATTTCCTGATAGATTTAATACTCAGTGAAAATTGTTCTTTATAGACTGAAAAAAAAAATAATATCCAATGCAGCTAATTTGTAACTTGTAAACAAACAAACAAACAATAATAATAACAAAAACAATAATAATAATAGTAAACTATTTGCCTAGCGAACCACTGTAGATCATTGCTGTTTTTGTTGTTGCTTTTCTTTTTTTTTTTTTTTTTTTTTTTTCCCTTCCCTGAAGGGAAAGATTGCTGTTTAGAAAAAGATTTAAACTTTAGCCCCAACATATTAAGCAGAATTAATGATCTATTTGCTTAGATGTCATATATTACTTCTAGTTTATCCATCCACTGAGTAAACGATAGGCAATACTTGGTCACGATGATAGATTTGAATGCAGGCTGGAACATCAATCAGTGCTGGCAACTGATTAGTTGTTTGTGTCTTTGACAAGCTCTTCCATCTCAGTGAATGAAGGCTTGCTGATTGCTCTCCCTTCTCTCCACATTCATTGCACTCCACTGCCACTATATTACATGGTTAATGCCAATGGTGGAAATTCTCCTTGACAGTAACAGTGAATTTCTCCCGTTCTCTTATCATTACATGCACACTACTGCATGTTCCTTCTGAAACTAGAATTTCTGAGCTCATCCATGCTATCAGGCTGGTGCAGTAAGGCTGAGACCTACAGATGATAAAGATTTTGTGTATAAGGAAAACAAAAAGAGCTGTTGCAATGACATGTTATGTGTCTGGTCACAAGTTAGTTTGCCTGATGGTTAGCTATGAGCATGTTATAGATCAGAAACACTTCCTAAGAATCTTGCAGTTCTGCAGTAGGGTAGCTGCACAAGATGTAGGAGGTGCAATGGGAAGTTCAGTTTTGTGTTAAAGGCAAAATGCAGGAATTCTGGTTGATATTTTCAGAACTGCTCAGATGATTTAGTTGATCCCTACCAATTAACAGTATTTAAAAAGTCTCAGCCTTTGTCAGTCATTGAAAAAAAATTAGCAAATATCTCCAGTGTCACTCCGTTATCATGTCTATGATTTCCTGCAACAGAAGGAGAGAATATATTAGCTGAAGTAGCTGAGGAAATACAGAAAATATGAATGTTGACATTCTTGAACTGCAACATTGTCTAGCATATGTTCAACATGTGTGATTAAGTATTAGGAGGACTGGAACACCAGTAATCAAGATCAGTGACAGTTTATTCAGTTAAAATGTGCACAATGAGGACAGCTCTGAGGACAGTCTTTTGCTGCTCATAGTAGGAAGTACAAAGTGTATATTTACACATATAATAGATGATAGAGAGTGTTATTTAGAGTAAGTTTTTGTTTTGTTTTGTTTTGTTTTGTTTTCCTATTTTCCCTTTACAATAGTTTTTCCAAGTAGATCTTATGTCCACAACATTGAATACTGTTTCACATATGAAAGAGTAGATGATAATGTCGGACAATTTACAAGAAAGAACATAAAGAACATAAAGATAAAGAACATAAATAAATAAGCTTCCAAATGTTTTCCAACTGCAAAAGTCAGTGCTGTGAATAAAGTAAATAACATTCCAATAAAATTCAATTTATGCAAAGAAAAACTAAAGGGAACAAATAGAGGAAGGTATGTTCCATATGTAAAACGCTGTAAATAAGCATGTGAAATTTCAAAATAACTAAGTAAAAATTTAATGCAGGATCACGCTCAGGTTTACATTCTTGTTTTCACTGGGTAGATAGACACAGAAAATGCAGTCACTTTTACCAGTACTCCTCATTCCAGGAACACAATAGAAAAGCACACGCAATCCTCTATTTTTGTAGACAACCCCACTTTCTCTTTTTTTACTTATACTCTGGTTATATTCTGATTTGGTTTAAACCATCAGGCAGCTAAGCTAATTGTGTTGCTTTTCTTGTTAGTTGGTGGAGACATAGTTGTTATTTTGTTTGTCACATCCGTTGGGATTTGAAAACATCCATCTTGCTATTTTATTCCTAAAAAAAATGGATCACTTGGGAAGGTCCATTTTTTTTTTTTTTTTTTTTTTTTTTTAATGACAAAACCAGTGTTCAGAAGGATTTGGACTATTTTCTTCCCTTTCTCAAAAACTTCCTCTGCTATGTCACCCCACAACAGAAGGGTCCTCCAAGAGACCTGTTAAGGTAGACAACTGTTTAATGTCTTCTATCTTGCAGCTATGCTGAAAGCTCACTGGTACCTTTTTGGGTCCTTGAAATATCCTCTCCTGAGATATTCTATGCCAAGGATGCAAAGAGCATCAAGGCCAGTCACAATACAGTGCTTTTACCACTCATTCCCGGTTAGATTCACTTAAGCCTCCAATACAGTTAACAGCTAGAACCAACCCCTCACCCCAGAAATACAGATGGGTTCTGGCCCTTTATCACTTGATGGCATTACAGTACACTGTGCACTGTTGTCTACTAAACCTTGTACTTCTGTGAGTCTGATGTGCCAGGACATCGAATCCACATAGTCTACTAAAGTTGATTGACCCTTTCCTCCCCCTGGCCAGAGGCAGTGACCCTCTAATCCTGGTCAGAATCTTCATTACTATGTTTGGAGGACTGCCGACTGGAAATTGGAGCAGCAAGTTTCTCAGAGAACCTCCTTTTTTTTTTTTTTTCATTATTTTTTCCCCTGCAACTCGTGTACCTGTGCCTCTAGGTTCAAGGTAGAGTCTTCATCCCATTTTCTCATGTCCTTTCCATGATCACATAGATAAAACCACAGGATGACATGGGGTGTGTACCCACTATATCTTCTTTCTTGAACAGAAAGATGCTTACCCCTGATAGCTGAGACACTGGTTTGTACAGGTGGTGAGGAAGATAAATTCTTTTTAAGTTGGTGGACCTCTTCAGAAAGTTTCTCCACAGCCAAGATTCAGGCCTGTAGGGAAGAGGAGAGACTTTCTTCATACTGAAAGAGTTATTTAGCCAATTCATCAACCATGGGTTTCTCATGGTCTTTCCACGTCATTAGTGCCAATGAGCTGGTATATGATGATGGTGTACTCTGTACAAACTTCTGCCACATTTGACTTCACCTGGATCTTTGGACATATGTTTGTTGTCTAGGTCCCTATAAATCACCTCCTATATGACTAATTCCCTCAGGTACTGGATTCCCCTCTGCATAGTGGTCCACTCACCTGGTTGACATACAAGTTCTTCCTTGAAGGGATACTTTTCCTTCACACCTGGTAGGAGACACCTCCAGAGGGTGAAGATTTATGTTCCATTTCCAACAGTTTTGTCAATGCCTGCATCCTTAGCAAGGGATCACAGCCACCTGGCTTCCCTGCCCACTAATTCCAGATTATTGGCTCTGTTGTCCCAAAAACAGAGCAGCCAAGTGACAAGGCATTCACTTGGACAACAACCAGAATCTTTTCGTATACCTCATAGCTCATACTGGCATAGGCCTATATCGATGTTTCTATGATATCTTCATCTTCCTGTTCATATGATGGCCCACACACTTCAGACCAGCCTGCCTCATCTTCTTCTTCATCCCTGGTCTGAGTAAGAGTTCCTCTGTATTCTAAATGACCTGACATTCTCATCCATTGTTTCATCTTGGTTACAGGTGTAAATGATACTGGTACAGTCTGTTTCCCTGGATCAGCCTTGGGGCCTGTCACAGGGCTTGGAGTGGCCACATGAGATGAAGTGGCCACAGGGTCTGTCACTATGTTGTAGTGGCATATATTGCAGCTCGGTAAGCATAAGCTAAGCCCCAGCATGTTGCAGTGATTTGTCTCTTTGGAATTGCCAGGGTGAATCCTTTTTCAAGCATTCTACCAGTTTTTGAAATTGCTCAGGGGTGAATTTCCAAAACACTGGAGGTACACACTGCTCTAGATGCCTTCCCATATCCTCTCAATCTCCCTGCCACTCATAACTATCCTGCCTCAGGACAGATCTCTGAACGACGTTCCTAAGTAGTTGTTTATCTTTAAACAAAACATGAAATGCATTCAGGAGACATAACAATAAGAACATGCTGGTCTGAACATCCCAAAGATATTCAAAGTTTTGAAAATCTATCATAACTCACATGGAGGAGAAGAGGGGAGTAAAGGAGAAAAGGAGAGTGAACAAGTGGGAAAAAAACATCTCCCCCGTCCCCTCCATATATTTGCTCCCTTAAGAAAAAGGGTAAAAGGTCTAATTATGAATAGTTTCTGAGGTAGGGTTTCCAAAGTGCTCTTTGGAAAAGTGCTCTTTGGCTAATGGCAGTGCTGAGTACAAATACCAGATTAATCTCATGACCAGTAATTTTATCATATCATAAACCAGTGTTAAACAGTACTGCAAAATAATAACCATAAACCAACCCCCAGAACTGATAAATAGCATGACAGGGAACACATACAGAAAGTATTTTACGCAACAGGTTTGAGGCCCTGGAGCTCGACAGACTGGTAGCTGAGGAAGAGGTAGCAAGTGTTCCCAGGAGGATGCCTAGGGCGAGGAGGTCAACTCCACGCCTCAGGACTGCCTCCACCAAGAAAGACAGGAGGGTTATTGTTGTGGGAGACTCTATCCTTAGGGGAACAGAGGGCCCTATTTGTCGGCCTGACCCTACCCATAGGGAAGTCTGCAGCCTCCCTGGGGCCAGGGTCAAGGACGTTGCCAGGAAGCTTCCCAACCTGGTACGTCCCTCTGATTATTATCGTCTTTTGATAGTCCAGGTGGGCAGTGACAACATTGAAGAGAGAAGCCTGAAGGCTATCAAAAGAGACGTTAGGGGGCTGGGATGGTTAGTGGATGGAACGGGAGTGCAGGTGGTGTTTTCATCCATCCCTACAGTGGCAGGGAGGGGTACGGAGAGGACACGGAAAGCCCACCTGATAAACACGTGGCTCCAGGGCTGGTGCCAACGCAGAAATCTTGGGTTTTTCGACCATGGGGCACTTTACTCAGCACCTGGCCTGATGGCCGCAGACGGGTCCCTATCTTTTAGGGGAAAAAGGGTCCTGGGCAAGGAGCTCGCAGGGCTTATTGAGAGGGCTTTAAACTAGGTAAGAAGGGGGATGGGGCTGAAGCAAGGATTGTTGGGGCTGTGCCAGGGGGAACAATGGCAAGGCTGGAGGATAAGGTAAAGGCCCAGCTGAAGTGCATCTACACCAATGCATGCAGCATGGGTAACAAACAGGAGGAGCTGGAAGCTATCATGCAGCAGGCAGGCTACGACCTGGTTGCCATCACGGAGACGTGGTGGGACCAGTCTCATGACTGGAGTGCTGTGATGTCTGGCTATAATCTCTTCAGAAGGGACAGGCAGCACAGAAGGGGTGGTGGTGTGGGTCTCTATATTAGAGAGTCTTTCGATGTTGTAGAACGTGAGGCTAAGAATGACAAGGTCAAGTCCCTATGGGTTAGGATCGGTAAGGACAACAAGGCTAGTGTCCTGGTCGGAGTCTGTTATAGACCGCGGAATCAGGATGAGGAGACGGATGAGGAGTTCTACAGGCAACTGACAGAAGTTGCGAAATCTTCAGCGCTTGTTCTCGTGGGGGACTTCAACTCCCCTGACATATCCTGGAAGCACAACACAGCCCAGAGAAAGCAGTCTAGGAGGTTTCTGGAGAGCGTGGAAGACCCGGGAAACTACAGGCCTGTCAGTTTGACCTCAGTACCAGGGAAGCTCATGGAGCAGATCCTCTTGGGAGTCATCATGCGGCACTTGAAGGGCAAGCAGGCAATCAGGCCCAGTCAGCATGGGTTTATGGAAGGCAGATCCTGCTTGATGAACCTGATCTCCTTCTATGACAAAGTGATGCGCTGGGTGGATGACGGAAAGGCTGTGGATGTGGTCTACCTTGACTTCAGCAAGGCATTTGACACCGTCTCCCACAACATTCTCCTCAGGAAACTGGCTGCTCTTGGCTTGGACTGGAGCATGCTTCGTTGGGTTAGAAACTGGCTGGATAGCCGGGCCCAAAGAGTCGTGGTAAATGGAGTCAAATCCAGTTGGAGGTTGGTTACTAGTGGTGTTCCCCAGGGCTAGGTGCTGGGGCCAGTCCTCGTTAATGTCTTCATCGATGATCTGGATGAGGGGATCAAGTGCACCCTCAGTAAGTTTGCAGATGACACCAAGCTAGGTGCATGTCTCAATCTTCTTGAGGGTACAAAGGCTCTGCAGGAGGATCTGGATAGGCTGCACCGATGTGCTGAGGTCAACTGCATGAAGTTCAACAAGGCCAAGTGCCGGGTCCTGCACCTGGGGTGCAATAACCCCAAGTAGATCTATAGACTGGGAGATGAGTGGTTGGAAAGCTGCCTGGCAGAGAAGGGTCTGGGAGTGATGGTTGATAGTTGGCTGAATATGAGCCAGCAGTGTGCTCAGGTGGCCAAGAAGGCCAACGGCATCCTGGCTTGTATCAGAAACAGTGTGACCTGAAGGGCTAGGGAGGTGATCGTCCCCCTGAACTGGGTTCTGGTGAGGCCGCACCTCGAGTACTGTGTTCAGTTTTGGGCCCCTCGCTACAAGAAGGACATCGAGGTGCTTGAGCGAGTCCAGAGAAGGACAACGAAGCTGGAGAGGGGCCTGGAGAACAAGTCCTACGAGGAGCGGCTGAAGGAGCTGGGCTTGTTCAGCCTGGAGAAGAGGAGGCTCAGGGGCGACCTTATTGCTCTCTACAGATACCTTAAAGGAGGCCGTAGTGAGGTAGGGGTTGGTCTGTTCTCCCACGTGCCTGGTGACAGGATGAGGGGGAATGGGCTAAAGTTGCGCCAGGGGAGTTTTAGGTTAGATGTTAGGAAGAACTTCTTTACTGAAAGGGTTGTTAGACACTGGAACAGGCTGCCCAGGGAAGTGGTGGAGTCACCATCCCTGGAGGTCTTTAAAAGACGTTTAGATGTAGAGCTTAGGGATATGGTTTAGTGGGGACTGTTAGCGTTAGGTCAGAGTTTGGACTCAATGATCTTGAGGTCTCTTCCAACCTAGAAATTCTGTGATTCTGTGAAAGCAATGTGCAGTTCAGAAGACATGCACAGCAGACCTGAGATCGACAAGTCAGCATTGTGAATAGCAACTATTAAGTTATGTAAAGTGTACAACAATTTTGTTTTAACATGTTCTGTTCAGATCTGTCATTATCTCAACCCTTGAACCTCATAGGGTACCAAAAAGGACTGTTGCGGTTTAGCATGGCTGGCAGCTAAGCACCATACAGCTGTTCACTCACTCTTCCCTCTCCCCTCCTTGGATGGGAGAGAGAATCAGAAAAAATGAAGCTTGTGGGTTGAGATAAAGATAGTTTATTAGGACAGAAAGGAATGGAAAGTAAAAATACTAATACTAATACTACTACTAATAATGTGTACATAACAAATGATGAACAATGCCATTGCTCGCCACCCACAGAATGGTGCCCAGCCTACCCCCAAACAGCTGGTCCTCCCCACCCTGGCCAGCCCCCCCATAGTAATTGTTCAGCATGACATCAGATGGTATGGAATACCCCTTTGAGCAGTTTGAGTCAGCTTTTCTGGTCCCTTCCCAGCTCCTGCTACACTCCCAGCCTGCCCACTGGCAGGACAGAGCAAGATGCTGAAAAGTCCTTGGCTTAGTGTAAGCACTGCTCTGAGATAAGTAAAAAATCAGTGTGTTATCAACATTACTCTCATCCTAGATCCAAAACATAGCACCATACCAGCTACTAGGAGGAAAATTTATTCTATCCTAGCTGAAACCAAGACAATTCTGGTTGTTCTACTATTTACAGTGAAAAGGAGGATCACTGCAAAGAGAAAACCTTCTGATGCTGATTTCTGATTTACCACAACTCTTTTTAATATAGGTCACTGAAGGCTATATAGCTCTTCAAAGAAGGTTTTCTAATCTCCTCATGGATTATATAGACATTTAGTATAATGAGA